GTATACCCTAGAAAATTACAAAATTATTAATAACTAAACAATTTTGTCTTTCACAAACTTTAATTTTATACTGTCTATATACTAGTAATATCTTTGATTTAAAGAAACTTTTAATTTAGTTAGGGAGGATTTCTATTCTTAGTACTTTTTAAACCATGAAAGTATTGATATCATGTTTTAGAGTATAGATCCAAGTTTAAATGTTATTGCTGTGGTATTTCCTTTTTGTGATATACTATTTTGTCCCTAGACCTTTTTGTTATACTGACAATATTTCACTTTACTGTCAGATGTTATATATATTTTTAAACCTTCGGTGTTATACTGTTAATATTTGGCTCCTGCCTATGCCTTCTTTTTTTAACTGTAGTTTAAAAATTGTTATTGACTGACTCACTTAAAACCTATATATCTAAAATTTGCATTTAATCATTGTAATTAATATTTGGACCTATGATTATTGTCATTTGTTTATGTCAACCGTACAAGATTTTTCTTGTTTTGTTGAAATAACCTAAGCTCTTGGTTCTTGTATTTTTTATAAAAAAGGTACAACGGTATAGCTACAACCATTGACTATTGAATACTGAAGTAGATATCCCATCTATATGGACCATCAATTTTTATTAAACAAGAACATAGTTGTGTGAGCCAGTCACAGAATGTGCTAGTGCCTAAAACTCTATTACCTACCTTATTTTTTGTTGCTAACATTGTTGATGGTCCATACAGTTGCTGTAGCTCACAATCAGTCGTTGATCGGTTTGACTTGGTAAAAATGATTTAACATAAATTAGTAAATCAGCACAATCTGTCAGTGGCTCACTTCAACGTTTATTTTTAAAAAAACTGTTGACAAACTTAACATGGGAATAGAATGTTTAGTTTTACCTGTATCAAAGGTTTTATGTTGGGAAAAATTGAGCACCCGTAATTATTCCAGAGCAGTTGACCCTGAAGACAAATCAGTGTCCATCGCATTGTCTGAGATGCTTTGTAGCGCCTTAGCGTACATCCCAGGTCCCATCGTCTACGGAAACCTTCTCGGTAAATACTCTTAATACCTAAATATGGGTTCATTTACAATTTACATTACAATTTTTGATCTTGATATGCAAGTCAAATGTATATAGAACACACCATCAAATCTGTATCTGGTTCAAACTTAAGCCATGTCAATTCTAGACTCATTGGGCTTTAGAATAATGCTATCTACCAAAAAGTTGATATTGGTAACAAGACTACGTTTTGGACCATTCACTTACAAAAACCACAAATAATGACTGGTGCACCACACAAGAAAAAAAATTAATACAGTACACATTTGTTACAATACTTACCTCTATATTCTTACTTTTACAGTAGTGAGATTTTGATAAAATTATAATTTGTCAATTTCGTTGTTAAATTATAAAAAACTCAACATTTGATGTAAATTTACGACTACCTAACTTTTTTAGTTTTTAAATTTTGAGTAGCCGCTACAGTTTATCATTGTTTTGAGTGACACAGTGCAAATACATAATGTGTGTTTTAGTGAAATCATCTTCTTCAATTTATTATTTTTTTTTTTTTTTACTTTACAGACAAAGCCTGCCTGGTGTGGGGAGACTCTTGTGGCGAACAAGGCAATTGTTGGTTGTACTTTGGCCAGACTCTACGCTATTACCTTAACTACACAGCGGCCGGTAAGAGCCTATCGTATTGCTATAGATTAAACATACGATTGATTTATTATTTTTATGGATCAGCATTGATAAACATGCTGGTCTAGTGGGTAATTGTGGAACTTTTGTACCCAAGGTTCTGAGTTCAAATCCTGCCAATCAACAATAGTTTTAAGTTATGTGATAACGCTGCGACTCCCTAGGACTAGCCTGAAGCACTAAGTATAACGGTCCTGGGCTAAAACTTAGCGTCCTATATGAAGGTTGCACTATCAGCTAAAGAAAATATGATTGGCTATTTGAAACAGAAGTAGACATCCCATATATCTGGACCAGCTGTTGCCATTTTTAAGGAACAGTTATGTGAGTCAGTCAAAGAATGTGCTATAGTGTCTAATACTATATTTTCTATCATATTTTTTGTTGCTAACCGAGTTGATTGGTCAAAACAATAGATCATAAGAAGCCATTCTATTAGTTTGGTTAGTTTAGTTAGTTTCTATTAGTCCTATACAAATTTATTTCTTTACTCACGATAGTTTTTATTTGAATAATTGTTTTATCGAAGCATGTCGTAAAAATCTTTTTCAGAAAAGGGACCTCTTGTCGGCCCTATGTTATTTCGCCTTAAGATAAGAAAAGGTACCTCTTGTCGGGACTGCAAAATTTGTGAGATATTTTGTTCGTGGTGAACTGAACTTTTTTGTAGTTCTCTAAATTTCCACTAGAATGCAGGATAATTTGTTTTTTGGACTAAAATCTGATAAAAAAGGGAATATTAGAAATGGGACCTCTTGTCGTTATGGCGAAATAACATTGAGCGACAAAAGGTACCTTTTCTCAGACCGTGCAGAGGCTAACAAAATGATTTATTTTGACCTTTTGCATCTTCAATTTGAGATTTTAACTGATACTGTCATGTTCTATGTTAAATTAGGTATATGTGAGGTCCTCTTGACAGCCTACTATGGACTAGTTTATCCTTATCTGACATATGCTGTACCTGTCTGGGGGTGTGAAAGCCAAAGGACTCAGTTCATATTCAGGCTTCAAAAAAAGGCTCTCCGAACAGTTTTTTCCCTTCACCGTCGTCAATCCTGCAGAGATGTCTTCAGATCACATAAAGTTCTAAATTTCCCTTCCATTTACATTTTAGAAACATTATCATTTATCAAGAAAAACCAATCATCATATAGCTCTCCAAGTATCCATAGTTATCGTCTCCGCAACAATTTCAATCTTTCAGTACCACGACACTCAACCACTTTCTTTCAGAAAAATTTCCACTTCAATGCAGTAAAACTTTTTAATGACCTCCCTCTCCCTTTGAAAGCCGAACAGGACATCGGAAAATTCAGGAAATTAGTTAAGTCCATGTTGATAAATAAGGTCTGCTACAGCGTCCGGGAATTTCCTGGTAGTCTTTAACCTTATTAAACATAAAAGAAAACAATTTGTATATAAAGTATTTAGTAGTTAATTAATTTCATAAAAATGTAATCTCTTGACTTGGCCAATGCAATGTATTGTTAATCTGGTTGAATAAAGGATTTTGACTTTGACTTTTTTAACAATCGATAAAACCCCGAAATTCAATATTTTTGACCTTAATTACTTATATCGGCCGTACTGAAAATGTTGCATCTCCGACAAGAGGTCTTTTCGCTTTCCACATCACAATTAATCCCTTGTGGTACTGAAACGGTCAAGAACAAAGGTAAAAACACTAGCAATAGGATAAGTCTAGTGAAATTATATTAAAATCCCATTTTATCTGAGCTAGTTTGTTATAAAAGTACAAATTCTACATCAGAATAATGACCACCTAAGGTAGGCTACCGTACCTTACTCTTGAGAAAAAATTTGTTCCCCTTCATTTATTCCAAATTAAACCCTTCTCAATAGTTTATCTTATTATCCATGAGAAGAATGTTTTTCTTCATAAATTGCTAGTACCGGTATAGCAAAATTGTTTAGTGGGTAATCAAAATAATTTAACTGTTTGTTTTGATAAAACTGTTCAAATTCTTGACTCAATTCCAGGATTCCTCTCACTGGCGGTTTTATTCGACTGTGGAATTTGGTATTACTCGAAAAATCTGGCCCTGTACGAAGAAGATGAAGGGAAGGCTGCTAACAACAACAGTACAGCAAATATAGACGGGAAGGAAGTAAACTCGTGCGAAGGTGATGTAATTGCCTTACAACCTCCGTCAACGTAGAGAAAGTTATAACCTAGTTGAATTAGTAATTTATGAGCTTTACAATTTTAATTTATACAAAATACATTTTTGACATTGAGATTTTTAAATATGAGTCATTATTTACCCTTTTAAAACCGAACTATTCTATTAGCTATCAGGTTTCGTAAAATGTACTTCGTACTGTTGAAAAAAATCAAGCTCACATGTCAAATTTGTAATTAGGTTTTTAAGGATTTAATTTAATTATATTTTTAAAGTCAAATGAAATTTATCCTCTTGTAAGGAAGCACACCAAACAATGGTCTTGTCCTTAACCCCAACCTTTTATTTATTTGACCATTTCTTAAAAACAAAGACAATTTTTATCATGGGTACATATTATGTACATTTGAACATATTTAAATTATTTATGTTAAATATTAGATAACTCGGTTATATTTTCTAATTTAATAAGACTCTGTTTTCACTACATAAGCAAATGGGCAATAGAGCTAAATTTTAATGCAGGATTTAGACTCAAAACTAAATTTAATTCTAGAGATTCAAAGATTAATTCACGAACACAAAGATGTCTATTTTATGAAAGTTGAAAATAGATTGTAGTTCAAGAGGTAGATTATTAAGATTAAAATTTTATATGAGTTGAAATTCCAACAAAGTATTATTACCAGTTCAACTCTATAAGAGCAATTATAGGTACTAGAAACAAATATTTAACAAGAAAAAAAAAATTAAAATTCTAAGTTAAAATTCTAACAAGACTAATTTTTATGCTTAAATAAGGCAAATTTGTAAATACAATTTTTTGTCCCAAATTCAACTGATTTAAATTCACATGGCTATAGCTCTTTAGGAAAGACAATAACACAATTGCTGTAAAAACTGTTCCATAAAAATGATTAGAAGAAAACAATAAAAACGTATCTGTTACAAAGTAAAAAAATTACAGTTGTATAAAAATATTGTTATTATTCGTACAACAACTGAACAATTTGACAATCTAGCATCTATACACTGTACCTGTGCTATGGATTATCTGTGGATAGATAACAGTTATCCAAGATGGGTTGGGTCCTTATCAACTCTTATCACAGTCCTGATTCTCACCTTTATGATAAAGAGTGAAATCTGCTGCTGTACTGTTTGCAACTGTTTTGACGATGCTGTAAAATATGATTTTTGCAATGTTGGTATCAAATTGAATGCAAATGTGGCTCTGAGCGAGTTTATTGCTGCATTGTCTTAGGTTGTAAAACCTAATGTGGATTTCTTTTGTGTGAGTATTTATTACTTTATCTACTTATAACGTATTGTAGTTGTTATGTGTTCAGTTATAACTAGATACTTCTAATAATTGATAGTGAGGGTAGAAATTGGTATTGAGTTGTTTGAAATACACAATTAGTAATTTTGTAATAGCCAATATGGGTTAGTACTGTATTTTAAATGATTGATAATCCAAGCAAAAAATGTGAACATGTTGCGTAATGGATATTTATTTATTTCTCCAAAGAAATTAAAAACAGAAATACTATTCTGAGATTATTTACGTTTATGGTGGTAGAAACCTATGAAACATATGACAATAGGTCTGGTGGAAATGGAAGAGATGTAAACAACTGTAGTTTAAAGTTTGTGACCATTTTTAAATGTTTGAACAGCTATGGAATCTGATTATGTAATTTATTTTGTTATTGCATACATAAAACACATCCACAAAACATACATTGACTTTCAGACTTTCTTGAGCCTTGGTATAGATAATAGAGATGCAAGATGCACAAGCATATTTCAATACAGTGGAACTCCAAACATCAAGAGACATGATCAATTGGGAACAAAATATATTCATATAATCAAAACTACAGATAATTGGAATTTTCAAGAAAAATTATAAGGTAGTGGCGATAGGAAAATTCTAAGGCATTTCCCGCCAATTCATACGACACTTTTATAAGACTCATGGCATGACGGACACAATTGGCACACGTTAAAGTGTATATCGGATTACCACAAACAGCAAAAAACTATTTATTTGGTCAAATCAATTAATTTTCTTCTTTTTGGGGTAATCTGAATAATTAGCAATCTGGATAATTGGAGTTCTACTGTAGTTTTAGAGGTAATCAAATTTGAATAGAATCCAATGAATCAAAGTTTTCCTTGTATCTGAAAAAAATATGTATTTAAATCTTAGACGTCAAGTCTAGCAGCCTTGCATTAATGCTAGATCTGTCCATAGTGTCGGACTGTTCAAGCAAAATCCATCCTCTTGTATTAAATTTATTTAAAAAATAAGTTACCCTGAGCTACATAAGTTAGCTACATAAGTCCATAACTTAAGGTCTTTATCAAGCTCCTGTCGCGAGCAAGCTTAAATCTGAGATTGTAACTTTTTATGTTCTTTACTTCATCCACCATGGACGGACGGTCCAAGAAGGGGGGGGGGGGGTCACAAGGGCTAAAGCTCCCCCCCCAATTGTACCCTGGTAAATAATACTAACATATATTTTGTCCTAAAAACGTAACCCTTAAAACAGACGGTTATATAGTTTTTTTACCAAACTAAATTAACAATGTCAGGATAGCCATATCCAGATTGATAAACCTTATGAAGTAAATAATAGAACAACGAATAAAACGTATTACGATATGCAAATCAGTATGCATCATCCTCTTTTTCCGCCAGTCAGCTGTTGACATGCTTGGTGCCGAGCGTGACATCAAGGGGGGGAAATACGGTAGCTGATTTCATGTTCTTACTTGTCAACTTTTTACCTTACACAACAGCTCAATTAGTTGTAATATGTTTAACAGTCGTGTCGGCATCACAATGCCATCCTTAGACACTTTAAAGACTCAGCTGAAGCAGTGCCATCAAAGTCAAAACACATTACACAAACCACATTTAACAAAAACCAAAAATTACTTCCAACACAAGTTACCAGCTATACAGCGATTTGAACAAGATGGTTAGAATAGCAATGGATGAAGTAAATAGCACGACTTTGGTCTCTTATTTAAACAGTTTGCATGACCGTGATGGATACCTTAATTTACAGACAGCCCTTGCAATGTACGTTACTATTCTATTTAAAAACAAAAACCATACAGGAACAAATTAAAGCATAGATTGTTGACAGTTTGGCTTAAGCTCCTGCAGCATGTATTACATGGTGAGGCAGTAAGAGCACCCCTATTTTGAATAACATCAATCAAACTATGCCATTTTAGTAATAACTAGCTGTGTACCCGTTCTACGCACGGGGATCTTATAATATTCAGTTGAAACCTTCTTATATAACGAACAGCAGTTGGTTTGCATATTTTAAGATATGCTGGCCAAACTATTATACATAGCTTCATTTTATGTTGTTTTTTGTTGTTCCGGATCGGTATGACAATCAATAAAAGGTTAAATTACCTCTGTGTCTGCCGGTCGATCCTATAACGGTAGGCTTACTTTTATTTTTACTATCTGATCTCGTTTGCATGGCTCAATCACGTCCTGGTTGAAGTTCGTTCGCTACGCTCACTCACCTGTATGTTGGAGCTCGTTCGCTGCGCTCACTTTCCTTCAGGTTAGCTCGTTCGCTACGCTCACTTGCCTTCAGGTTAGCTCGTTCGCTACGCTCACTCGCCTCCAGGTTGCAAATTAGCTGTTGTCATAAATGTAAAAGAAATAATAGTGCTAGTGCTGCACCCTGTTGGTAATCCTTGTAACTTTAATGCTATTGAACATCACAGAACAGAACCAACTTGTTTAATTGAAACAGCTGTTAAGATTCAATAATTTCATTTCTCATAAGGTTAACATGGGCTTCCAGAAATTCCACGTCAAAAATCGACAAAAACTTGATTTTCAAGGGTTTACTGTTAAATATCTAACTGTCTCATATTCGATGAAATACGTCTAAAACCATCTCATATATGTATAGTATTTGGAAAATAAGTTTCAGGCGGGACAGTGCTATAGTTATTGAGGAGTAGTTGTAATAAAGTGCGTATTTTAGCGTTACCAAGAGAATGACAGATAGACAGACAGACAGACAGACAGACAGACAGACAGAAATTGAGATAAGGTTTGATTCGGTTTCTCTGACCTATGAAATGTAAAAATAACCAAAAAGTTCATTATTCTAAGCAATGTACAGACAAAACTCTAATTTTATTTATATAGATTGTGCCTGAGGCTTGTAACACTGAGATTTTGCTGTGGGAATCTATCTTTAAAATATTGATTCTTGTGCAAACACACAGAGATTGATTAGTCCACATTCTGTACTTGGTCAATATGGCGCTGTTCCAGGTTGGAAAACTATAGGGAATTGGGTTATATTATTTAGGATAACAGATTAAACCATTAAAATAATTTTCCTACAGTTACCTAACAATGTACATGTTCTCTCACTGATTTGAGAAAGCAAAGTGGCCAATTCGCTCATCAGTGAGACAATGTTAACATTGTCTCACTCTAATTACTTTGTCTCACTCCAGATTTGCAACGAGTAGGCACGAAATAGTGAGCGCGTAACATGCAGGCAACGTCGTATGCGCGCGAAATACGTTGGCAGCACTGGCTGTAAATCAGCTGGTCAGCTGTTGTACTGTTGTATTTGTCACTTCGCATTAAATGTTATATTAAAAGTTCACTTCTGTGTAAAAATAGGTTATGTTTCTTCACCAATTTATTTGTTTTATGGTAACTGTAGGAAAAGTATAATGTGCAACTCGAGTTCAAAGTACAATTGCCTCACTCGAGAAACCATTCCTCACTCGCCTACGGCTCGTGAGTAAGGATTTCTCTCGAGTGAGTCAATTGCTCACTTTTCTCACTAGTTGCACAAATAACTATTGTGGGTGCCGCAAAACTCTTTGTAAACCAGCAAATGTTGAAAGAGTGTGAGTCCAGTAACTCAAAATCCAAGGAGGTTGGCCAGAATGCTTTCGTTGTTTGAAGCTTTACGTTGGATTCTTTTATTTTTTTTGGGGGGGGGGGGGGTTCCCCTTATAAGCTACTTAAAATTTAAGGTTTTTAAAAGTTGCCCTAAAGATTTTCTTGAATTTCCAAGAAACTAAAGTGATTCCTGAAGAAATGTTAGGAGTATTCAATGGCATTTTTAAGTGACTGAAAAGGAGTATCAAGTAGGACAAGGACGTCACTAAAAATTATTTTGTTTTCAAGAAATGGAACAATTACTTTTACGCCACACTACACTATTTTGACAAACTTCCCACACAAGGATTTAGTCCAGAAAACAGCTGTTTGCCGCCAGCTTAATCAAATGGGGTTTCATTGTGTACTACCATAGACGAACCAACACAAGTAGACTTGTCATCCCATTGTAAATTTTGACGCACATTTTTCATGTCTAGTTCATGTACGGTGACACTGGGCGCTAGTGTCGACAAAATTTTGTTTCTATAATTTTAGGGTTAATTTCTTGATTTGTGCTTTACTGTTTGGTTATATAACTAGGAGACAAGTGACTGTTTATGATTAGATCGTATTATTTTGTTAAACGAGGTTTTAAATGACTGTAATAACGGGAAACAAATTGTAAACAAAACACGACCTCTGCATAAACCGTACAGAACTAACAATAAAATTGTCTTCAGCTGTTCCATTAGGATGAGAAATCTACTTGGGGGAGTATGTTTTATCTATGGTACTACTGTACTGTAATGAGTTTTACCGGACAACAATCAGCTGATTATACTGTATTTGGGTGACAATAGGCAATGAGTAGTTATAAACAAAAACATAACCTCTCTTAGAGGTTATGACAAGTGATTTTTAGTCCTTTAGTTTGTGGTAATATATAACGATTTGTACAGATTTAGTAGTATGGCGTAAACTATCGTACGTCACTCGTCCAAAATGTGTTTACCGGACTCGTTTGGTAATCCCGTACTCGACTTTGTCTCGCACGGGAACAACCACACTCGTCCGGCAAACACTTATTTTCAGGACTAGTAACGTAATATACTATTAAAAGTTAAAATGGCAAAAGATAAGATGTGTTTTGATGTGCTATTTATATTTATATGGTAAATAGTATTGGATTTGTACTATTTATAAATTGGGGTCTTTTCATTGCCTCACCCTGTATATTCCTCACTTTTTGAGTACCTTACAGTAGTATCTATACGATTATCTTTGTAGGGTAATGCTGAAAAGGAAGAAAACAGTTTTAGAATGTTATGGGAGACGGCAGTGATTCTTGGTATTTTACACATAGCAAGAAGCGACTGTCCTTCAGGCTGTTATTGCATGGAACAAACTATTGATTGTTCTTCTAGAAAGTTGACATATTTTCCTCATGACCTCTCTTTCCAGGTAGGTGTTTTGATCAGTTTCATTTTATTTATTTACAAAAATCATAATACATGTAAACAATCATTGAAAGTTTAATAGTCAAGAAACATTTAAACCTTCTAGGTGTCTTAAATCATTGAATTTGGATCCAATGGTAGACATCCAATCTAAATGTACTGACTCAAAACAGTTTTTTACTCAACGGGGAGAGTTTAGAGAAAACTCTGTCTCCTTTGAGCTCCTGGCATTAAGCGAGCTTAGTCTAAATCTAAAAAAAACGCTTTTCTTTTCACTTCACTAATATTGTAGCCGGTTTCCACCCGTAATGTGACAATTAGTCATGTCATAGTATTCTTAAACTGTAAGGAAAACTTGTTCCTCCTGCTAAGTAAGAATCACGTTTTCGGAGAGTAAATAAAAGAAACGTCTTACAACACTTTAAACATATATTTACGCTTATACTGTTACTCACAAGACGGTAAATATACATAAAAGATGGTAGGTGGTGATTGATTTCGATTGGACACTCCAATCATCATCAGACCCAATGAATACATTCCTGCTCATGGTTAAGATGTCCACCATCTTTTATGAATATTTACCGTCTTGTGAGTAACAGTATAAGCGTAAATATATGTTTTAAGTGTTACAAGACGTTTCTTTTATTTACTTTCTGTAAATTTAATAACACGTACAAAGCCCTTGTAAAACTCTTTCTGAACGGGACATAAACCGCCTAATGGGCAGTGTACTTGACTTCTTGACTCGTTATGACGAGAATGGCGATACTTGTTTATCGCAGATAGTCACGGGAGACAAAACTTGCTTATGATACCCCTGAAACCAAGCGTCAATCAATGGAATGGAGGCACACTACGTCCCCAGAAAAATCAAACCAAAGCCAATCTTGACACCTCGAAAGGTCATGTGCATTGTTTTCTGGGACAGAATCTTTTGTTGCGAGGCCAAACAATCAATAATGATTATTGCGAGACAATCAGGAAACTGCGCATGCTCTTTAAAATTAATGTAACTTTCATCAAATGTGGTTAATTCTCAAACTACAAACGTGCCGAGGAATGCTCACGAAAGGAGTGATTTTCATTGACCACACACCGCAAATGTGACAAACACACTTCTTCAAGACTTTGGCTGGGACGTTTTTGACCATACTCCGTATAGCCCTGACCTCGCTCCAAGCGATTTTAATTTTTTTTGCAATATTAAGTCTTTTCTAGGCGGTCAGCGTTTAATCTGCGATGAAGAGCTGAAAGAACGTGTTACCTCATGGTTAAATACACAGGAGGCAACATTCCACGAGGAGAGTATACTCAAACTTGTACCACGCTATGACAAATGCCTCGAAAATCGCGGGAATTATGTTAAAAATAGTATAAGAATTGTAGATTTTTAAAAAATGAGTTTCATTTCTGTATCTGTACCCGTTATTCTTTTATTTCAAAACGGAACTTACCTCGTAATAGGCATAAATAAATATTTTATCCATAGGACTCATTGGGTTAATAAAAATTCTAAGTTTCCGCATTAAAAAATGTAAATAAATAACTTTTCTAAAAGCCCTTCAAGCAATAAAAAGCATTCTCCAAAACCACACTAAGTTTTTGTAAACCTGTGTTGATCTAGGGTTGAACTTTAATCAAAAGCAGCATTGACTAAAATAACTAACATACCATAATTATGGTTCTTAGTCAGTTCTATGACAGCTTAGACACATTTTAAAGTGTCCTAGGGTAATAACAATAGACCTCTAGCTCTAGGTTTGGTTAGAAAATTGTGTTTAAACCAAATTTGAGATGTTTCTTCAACTCTTGATTAAAATAAAATGAAAAGAGGTGATTCCCTAGAAATTTAATATGCAGAGTGTTTATAAAAGAATAGCGGCATTTTAAACGGCCGTTGCTCGGGGACTATTCAAGATAATTAAACGATTTAAGCGTAAAATTGAATGGAAAAGAACAAAGTTTTTTCCTTCATACTTTAATACAATTTGGAACAACTTAATTTAATAAAATTTTGATTTTCATCAATGTTATATGGGCTTATTACGAGCAAAGTCTGTACGCTTAGGGCGATCGGCGCTTTTATCTGATTCCATAACTGAATCTTTTTGAGAACAAAGATTCTATCATTTACAGATAACGTCATAAGTGTCGGTTTAGGAATGTTCGACTGAAGGCTTCATCGGACAATCGATTCTTTCAAGCTTCTGAAGCAGAATAATTGTCGGATTTCTTTGACTGTGTCATCGCTTGTTTTAGCCGGCCAGGTGAATGTCTTTTCAAAACCCCATGGTGCCATAAAACTTTTTAATCCAGCGTCAAATTTCTTTATCATCAAGTAGATTTTAATTTATTGTAATTTAGCAATTGATATAAACTCTGCAAACCACAGATTAAATTCTGTGCCTTCTGTTGCGCTGTAAACATTGTACTGGTGACTGGCGTCAGGCGTGCGAGTCGCAATAGCGACCTACCACCACACACCTGTTTTGCGCATGCCAAGGTCAAAGGTTCCTCCCTTGCTACAAGAGAAACAAAACTTAGTTATTTTAGCTTAAATTTGACGTATAAAACGTACCTTGAATATTAATAAAGCCATTACCATTTAAAATCGCGGCATTCTTTTATAAAAACCCTGTATTTACACTTTTAAAATAGAGCTTATTTTGAGATTTAAGAGGTGTTAACTTATTAGATAAGTCATGGTCAATGAATCAGTTTTATGAACTGATAAAGAATAGTTTAGATAACTTTTTAAAGTGTGATAAAAGATGTTACATAATAAATATGGAAAGAACAAACTGATTCTCTAAATGAGGGTGATTTATAAATAATTTAATGTTTAGTAAAATAAAATAAATATATACTGTTTACTTTATTTTGTGTCAATCGACACAATTGACATACTTTAGTGCTATCCACCTTTTTAATTGTCCCTTAATTACCCTGGTCCAGACACGGTATCTAATGACAAATAGTATCTGGGTCTAGGTTTTATTTTAGTTTTGTATCCAAACGATTGGAAAATATAAAAATTACATTAATCTGTTAATTACATTAATCGTTATCAAGATAATTTTTTTTGCAGATATTTCAAGATACGACTGATACCCTGAACGGATTGAATAGAAAATACATAACTAGTCTGAACTTGGCAAACAACCAAATAACCGAATGGCAAGGAAAGATTTTGGCTGACATTCTCCCAAATTTGGTCAGTTTGGATCTATCCAACAACAAAATAGCACAAGTCACGAGTGCACAAAGTATTCTTCTAAACATCAAGCTTCTTAATCTGAAACTATCCAACAACCCAATTCAAAATTTGGGATCCGACATTGACACTGTTCTGTACAGCCAATCTATCTCTCATCTTGATGTTTCTTCCTGTAACATAAAATCAGTCACGAATTCCGAGTCGATAATGTTTATGACCAACTTGACACATTTGAGCTTAGCAGGTAATCCAATTTTTGTAATCGACAATCTTCATTCAAACACGCTGGCTTATTTGGATTTGTCAAACTGTCTTTTGGGCATCAGTGGCAAAAGCTTTAGAGAGGATGCTTTCACAAATTTGCCGAAGCTGAACTACCTCAATATTTCCCTGAATGGCCATCTGACAAAGTTGTCGTCGTTTGAACCGCTGTCTATATCTATCAAGTACCTCGAGGCATCTAATTGTGCTTTTGAAAGTCCCGATGTAAAAATGTTTCCGAACTTGCAATGGGTTGAGATGAGGAGGAATGTCATAAAAACATTACACAATGAAATTTTGTCACAAAACAGTATTCTCGAGACCCTTGACGTATCAGAAAATTTAATAAGCCATATTGAGGAGAGAGCTTTCATAGGAGCTAAATCACTGAGAAAGCTGGATATTTCTCAAAACTTTATAAGAGGTTTGAACTGGAATGTTTTCTTTGAAACTCCCAAACTAGAGGTACTCAATATCTCAAGAAATTTACTCAAATCTGTGGATGACATTCCTATCCCGTCATTACTACTTTTAGATGCCAGTAGATGTGAAATCGTCGGATTAAACTCAAACATACTTCGTAGAACAAAGAATTTAAGATATTTAAACTTGTCAAACAACTTTGTTGAAAGTATACCTCCAAAACTATCGTCGTCAAAGTTGCTAAGTATAGATTTGAGTTATTGTCGACTGACTGAAGTCAAACACGAATCTTTTCAAGAACTACCATCGCTTCGGAGACTGAACTTGATGGGGAACAGACTGACCAATCCATTAAATCATAGTTTACTACAGGAAGTTCGTGAATTAAATTTACAAGATAATCCGTGGCACTGCGATTGTACCGATCCAGACTTCAGCAAGGCGTGGCATCATCTCTACTTGTACCCAAATAAAGGTAGCACATTGAGAAATTTGAAATGCCATTCACCAAAGGAACACTCAGGGATGTCATGGGAGAACAGTTGCTTTCGAGTTTTAGGAGAAGGTAAAAAGTACAAGACTGCAGCTTGGTATTCTTTTCTTGTCCCTTTTCTCACAGTTTGCTGCATGATAGCTATTTTCATGGTAGTTCGCCAGGCCTATGTCTCGCATGGATTGGAGGTGGAGCAAAGAGAGTCTAGTCAAAGAACAAGCCGCAGATCAGAGACCAGAGCAACTCGGGTTGGGCCACATTTCTTCGATGACGATTTAGAGAGAGGGATTCAAATGTCGGTGAATGAATCGACTCAAAGATCACCCATTCATGACTTGTCAAAGCTTCCTAGCTATGAAGAGGCTTTACTAATGCCGAAACTCCTAAGCCAAGACGATCTAAAGGATATAATACGAAATTATGAAGAGAGAGATAGATTTGAAGAATCTACATTGAATGATGCTCAAGAAAGAGGTTCCGGAATTAATGAACAGTTAGATCATCAACACTATCCATCTACTTCCAGGAATTCTGTGGTGAATGAAACTAGGAATAATCTTCGGACTGATGAGTGAAGAGTACCAAACTATCATGTTTTCACAATTAAATGTCAAAAACATAAATATTTTTCTTGAATGTATATATTGAATGTAATATTTTCTATTTTATTTTTTATTATTGTGTGTGTCTATTGATTTGAATGTTTGCTAATATTAGCTTGTAAATAAAACATTTTTTTTACCGATTGTTACTTCATACCATCCTAAATCAACACAACATTTTGTCATTGTCACACAAAGAGAAATTTCAAATTTATTATATCGTTAAAAGGCTTATTAGTTTTAAAGGTGTACCTACCACAAAAATCATCTTGTCCAATAATTGTCTAATACACAATGTAACTTCAGTTAGAGCTGGTTTAATTTGAATTTAACTCACTATTTAAAAATTGGCTTTCACAGTCAGTCATACAGCTTCATCACTGATTTGTTTACCATGTTTCAGATCGAATTATTAGAATTTATTTTATCTTCCTATGAGAGCAATGAATTAGTAATTAAGAACAAGCATAATATATATATACAGCTTTTTGATACTACTCTCCATAGTCGAAGGTACCACATATACATTAAAGACAATAACAAATCACAAAAAGTGTTTGAAAGAATAACCGACACTAAAATACAATATTTACATTTATTTAGGTTGCGTCTAGGAAAAAAGCAAATTTTTGGATAAAATTTAAATACAGAAATTCAAAGTTACACTCAAACATACTGTAATGTCAAACTTTTACTGCTGTATATGTCTTGAAATACAAATATTTAAATGGAATACAAGGAAATACAATTAGTTAGAAAAATAAATTTCAAATGAAAATGTTTATTCAGATACATTTAAGAGTTACATTGCCACTTCAAGAGTTACAGAATTATTCATAATGCTACATATAGAATAAAAATACTATACCAAAACATTTAACTTACATTTGAGACAAAAGATATCGCTAAGTAATATTTGCTAATGCATTTGTTATAAAACTGAAACAGAAGTTTGATACCTTTTAAAAGTTAACCCCACAAATAACTACATCCACAACGACAGATCTAATGCAACACTTAGTTAATGATTCACAATAACAAAATTTTAAAATTTCAGATTAGTGGAAGATCTGGTTACCCAAAACTACGTAATTACCTACATCACAATGCATAAGGGGCCCGAATTCCCTGAGTATATTAAAAGCTTAATAACTTCAAATTCCGAACAAATTGCAAAATAGGACTAAATAATTCAAAGATAAACTAATATGGCAGATACCAGTAAACTCCGATTTCTTATAATTGATTTAATAGAGCAATTAGGAATGCAACCAGCAGAATTGTCCAATTAGAAACATTTAAAACATATATTATTTACATTTAAATTTATGAAGGATTTAAATTTAAACTGCTTAATACAAACCAAAAACTATGTTGAAGAACAGTAACATATGGTATAGTGTTAGTTTTGATGTTACATTCCTAAAAAGGTTTTTCAGTTCTTGAAGCGAAACAACTTATGGCTCCACCTTCAGTAGTTCGACATCGAATATCAGCGTAGCATTTGGAGGGATAGTAAGCAGCTGTCAAGGAAGACTATGTGAAAAGCATGTTTCAAACCTAGAAATCAGTGTGTCATCTACCTTTAAAAACTTCAGTACAAGAAGGACTATGCTACAGACGGTCCTGGTTTTAGCGATTTTACAAGCCAATAAATTTAGTGCATTTGTAATGCTGTTTTGTTTTGACTGTGTACTTAGGGTTGCCATAAGGTAATGTGTAAAAAAGAGGAGATTTTAGCTGGCGGCTCCCACTATAATAGTGGATAAAAATTAAAGCGATGAAATTGCATACCTAGTACGCCTACATATGCAAACATAGATAGGATAACAGAAACTGTATGGGTCATAAACTTAAACATACGGGCCAGTGACGTCGTAATTGGTTTATATTTATTAAGTCCATACCGTTTCTGTTCAATATTCGTGCTACATTATCAGTATTCAAATGGTACGTGAAAACATAAAATGTTGCATCGCTTGTCACATCTGATTAAAAATCACAAATAACCAAATAAAGTCAATAAGTTCTTTCTGTCTGCTACTGCTACTGAACACGGACACCTTTGGACTGGCCGGCAGACGCCAATTGAAGGACTGGGAGCAATGAAACAGACGATAAACGATTAAGACAAACTAAGGACATTGCTGGCCAAAGTGAAACCAAGGAATAAAAAACTTTAGTTTGAGAGTTGCATTTCGCAGTTATTGTATAACGATACTCGCCTTTGGCTCGCTGGGGGCTCCGCCCCCAGGCCCCCTTTTTTGGTTGGGGGTAAAAAGAAATGGGCCATGGCGCAAGACCTGCAGATTGAGCCAAATTTTTAGCTAATCTAGACGTGGGTAAAATTTATTTAGACCGATGCACCTGTAGGAATAACATTGGGGGGGGGGGGATTTTAATTTTCGTGGGGGGGAATTATATTTGTAAAATGTCACTTTTAGAAAAGGGCGCAAGATCAACAATCATGCCAAAATTCAGATATCCAGTTAATCTAGAAATGGGTAAACGTGATTTAGAATTATGCGCCTGTAAGAATAACATTGGGGGGGATTTGATATTTGGGGGAGAGGGGTTGTAAATACGATAGGGGGATGAAACCTTAAGTAAACCAGAGTAAATGTATAGCATGAACGGACCATGGGAACCGGTATTTATGGTGGTTTTTATGGGGTAAATGTTATTCTCCATAAGAATAACATGGGGCTCGTAAAAACGTTCAAATTTTGACATTAAACCTAAGTTTTGGGGGTCAAGGAGTAAAGTTACGAAAAAACACGAGATGTGTAAAATTTAAAGTAAAGTAAGGAGAATACAAAGCAATATTAATTTTTGCAAAAACAAATTATTTAAGTATGAAAAAATGGCGAAAACCGGTAAAAGTTTAAAGAAATTTACCAAATTTTGAAAGTAGGGCATTTTTTGAAGGTTAAGGAGTGCGATTTTCGGAAAACGCCTAAACGGGGTTTGTAGAAAATTTAATTCCCGTTCATGAAAATCCTCTCAAATCTTTCTATCTCTTACCGTTTTCGAGCTATATGCGATTAAAAAAAATGTGTTTTGTCGTTTTTAGAGGTCCGCCATTTTTTATTTTTAGGGTGGTTAATATTTAAAAATGGGACTTTTGCAAAATTCACCAACAAATTATGATTCCTTACTACGATAGTACCAAATTCCAAGTCTCTAGCACGTTTCTAAACGATTCATTTGACCATACCAAAGGCATTAAAATTTCTATCTTATTCTCTATAAGAATAACATGGGGCTCGTAAAAGTGGCAAAAAATCTTCAAATTTTCAGATTAAAATTAAGTTTTAGAGGTCAAGGAGTAAAGTTACGAAAAAACATGTAATGTGTAAAATTTAAAGTAAAGTAAGGAGAATACAAAGCAATAATAATATTTGCAAAAAGGAATTATTTAAGTATGAAAAAAAGCTAAAACTGGTAAAAATTTGAAAGAAATTTACCAAATTTTGAAAGTAGGGCGTTTGTTGAAGCTGAAGGAGTGCGATTTTCGGAAACGCCTAATAGGGTTTAGTAGAAAATAAAATTTTCTTTCGCTAAGATGCTTTCAAATCTTTTCTAGCTCTTACCCTTTTCGAGCTATAGGCGTTTGAACAAAACGTGTTTTGTCGTTTTCAGAGGTCCGCCATTTTGGATTTTTGGGGTGGTTAAAATTTGAAAATGGGACTTTTGCAAATTTCTTCGTTAATGGTAGATCCCATACTACAATACTACCAAGTTTCAAGTCTCTAGCGCGTTTCTAAGTTGTTCAGATGAGCATACTAAAGTCGGCATTTTTCAATGTTATACTCCATAAGAATAACATGGGGCTCGTGAAAGTGGCAAAAAACCTTCAAATTTTTAGATTCAAATTAAGTTTTGGGGGTCAAGGAGTAAAGTTATGAAAAAACATGTAATGTGTAAAATTTAAAGTAAAGTAAGGAGAATACAAAGCAATAATAATATTTGCGAAAAGGAATTATTTAAGTATGAAAAAAAGCGAAAACTGGTAAAAATTTGAAAGAAATTTACCAAATTTTGAAAGTATGGCGTTTTTTGAAGCTGAAGGAGTGCGATTTTCGGAAAACGCTCAATTGGGTTTTGTAGAAAATTTAATTTCCTTTCGCTAAGATTCTTTCAAATCTTTTCTAGCTCTTACATTTTTCGAGCTACATCCGGTTGAAAAAAACGTGTTTTTTTGTTTTCAGAGGTCCGCCATTTTGGATTTTTGGGGGGTTAAAATTTGAAAATGGGACTTTTGAAAATTTCACCATTAGCTTATGATCCCTTACTACAATACTACCAAATTAAAAGTCTCTAGCACATTTCTAAACGATTCATTTGACCATACCAAAGTCATTATATTTCAATCTTATTCTCCATAAGAATAACACGGGGCTCGTAAAAGTGGCGAAAAACCTTCAAATTTTGAGATAAAAATTAAGTTTTGGGGGTCAAGGAATAAAGTTACGAAAAAACATGTAATGTGTAAAATTTAAAGTAACGTAAGGAGAATACAAAGCAATAATAATTTTTGAAAAACAAAATTATTTAAGTATGAAAACATGGCGAAAACCGGTAAAAATGTAATAAAAATTTACCAAATTTTGAAAGTAGGGCGTTTTTTGAAGCTGAAGGAGTGCGATTTTTGGAAAACACCTAAGAGGATTTTGTGTAAAATTTAACTCCTGTTCCTGGAGATACTTTCAAATCTTTTCTATCTCTTACCGTTTTCGAGCTACATCCGGTTGAAAAAAACGTGTTTTCTCGTTTTCAGAGGTCCGCCATTTTGGATTTTTGGGGGGTTAAAATTTGAAAATGGGACTTTTGCGAAATTCACCGTTAATTTAAGATCCCATAGTACAATACTACGCAAATTTGAAGTCTCTAGCACGTTTCTAAGTGGTTCAGATGGGCACACCAAAGTCGGCCATTTTTTATGTTATTCCCCATAAGAATAACATGGGGGGGGAATTCGAATTTTCGGGGGGGTTAAAATTTGAAAATGCGACTTTTTGGAATTTTATGGGTGGTTTCGGCACTAGACCTACAACCACCGAAAATTTCAAGTCTCTAGCTCATCTAGAAGTGGTCTAGAATTTGTATCCCCAGTCAGTTACACATCGGATTGTATAGTTATTTACTCGCCTTGTGCTCGCTGGGGGCTCCGCCCCCAGGCCCCCTTTTTTGGTTGGGGGTAAATACAAATGGGCCATGGCGCAAGTCACAAATTTGCCTAGTCACTACCTCTTAAACTTTCTTCACATCAATAAGCATCGATATAAAGTCTTAGGAGTTAGAGTGAGGTAAAATAATATTTTAAAATAATCTTAGGCCCCCTTCGGTGGCGGGGGGTTGGTAAAAATCATCGGCATGAAGAATGGACCCCTTGCGCAGTCAAAATCACAAAAAATAGGGAAAATGAGGTAAAATTTCAGGTTTAAACACGAATTTGGGGTGGAGATGGGAAAAAATTAAACTAAACGCATGGCTCAATCATATCCTGGTTGAAGTTCGTTCGCTACGCTCACTCACCTTTAGTTTGGAGCTCGTTCGCTACGCTCACTCACCTTAAAGTTGGAGCTCGATCGCTGCGCTCACTTGCCTTCAGGTTAGCTCGTTCGCTACGCTCACTCACCTTAAAGTTGGAGCTCGATCGCTGCGCTCACTTGCCTTCAGGTTAGCTCGTTCGCTACACTCACTCACTTTTGGGTTGGAGCTCGTTCGCTGCGCTCACTTGCCTTCAGGTTAGTTCGTTCGCTACGCTCACTCACCTTTAGTTTGGAGCTCGTTCGCTGCGCTCACTTGCCTTCAGGGTAGCTCGTTCGCTACGCTCACTCACTTTTAGGTTGCAGCTCGTTCGCTGCGCTCACTTGCCTTCAGGTTAGCTCGTTCGCTACGCTCACTCACCTTTAGGTTGGAGCTCGTTCGCTGCGCTCACTTGCCTTCAGGTAAGCTCGTTCGCTACGCTCACTCCCCTTTAGGTTGCAAATTAGCTATTGTCTTAAATTTAACAAAATAATAGTGCTGCACCTTGTTGCTAATGGTAAAATTTTATTAATGGGGATGAAAGAGGGGGGTTGGAATGTGATTGGTCTAAATATCCATAATTCACCTACTTACATTTCCATCTCGTTTGCGTGTATAAGCATGTTAATTTTCTATTAGGAATACGTTAAAAATAGTTAAAAACTACCTTTATGATTGAAAACCCGCCATTATAAATTTTTCAGTACGTTGAAATTATAGAAGGTCACTCAAGGGACTTTCTTTTTAACGTTAAGACCATAAAAAGGACAAATATATGTACGAAAAGTCGTTTTATAAATTAAAAACACCAAAAAAATCAAGAATTTTCACCATTTTTCGAAGTAGGGCCTTTTTTGAAGGTGAAGGAGTCAGATTTTCGATATAACCCCTTCTTGGAAAAAAAATGTCTTGTAGAAAATTTAATTCTGAACCTACGATTTTCCCTCAAATCGTTTCTAGCTCTTACCGTTTTCGAGCTACAG